CACTTAGACGCATTCAAGCGTAGCTTGTGTTGTTTGAGAATGGCGAACATCTCGGCCAAGTCGAACAAGTGGTCTGCTTGATGCCGGCTCTTAACCACCATATCATCAATATAAGCCTCCATTGTCCGACCTAGCAGAGAAGCGAACATCTTGGTCACAATCCTTTGAAAAGTTGCCCCGGCGTTCTTTAAACCAAAAGGCATGATGCGGTAGCAGAAGAGTCCCCTCGGTGTAGTGAAGGAGGTGATCTCACGGTCGAGGCCATGCATGGCAATCTGATGATAACCGCGGTAGGCATCCAAGAAACTGAGCCTGTTATGTCCAGCCATTAAGTCCACGAGCTGGTCTATTCTGGGCAGTGAAAAGCTGTCTTTAGGGCAAGCTCGGTTGACGGTCTTATAGTCAACACAAACTCGCCACTTCCCATTCTTCTTTGGTACAACAACTGTGTTTGAAATCCACCGAGGGTAGTGCACTTCCTAAATAGCTCGTGCCTCAGGCAAGTTCTTCACTTCCTCTGCAACTACCTCGGCGTGATGCAGCGCCGATCTCCTTGTTCGCTGAATGACCGGCTTGGCTCCAGGGAAGACATTTAGGTGATGGCAAATAAAACTCGGATCAAGGCCGGACATGTCATAAGGCGACCATGCGAAGACTTCGATATTGGCCATCAAAAACTCAACCATCTTGGTCCTTTCTTGTGCTGTAAGGCTTGAGCCAAGCAAGAAGAACCTGTCCAGACTCTTTGTATCAATTCGCACTTCGACCAATTCTTCGACGGCTTTGTCCTCGGCCCTTGTACCCACATCGTTAAGGACTCCGCGGTCTTTCGGTCCCTCTATCATTTGGACGAAGCCTTTTGGCAGCTCGGCTCCCGTTCACTGCCATGAATCATTGCTTTAACATGACTTGATCGCCCCAAATCTCTTCAATTGCCCCCGTAGCCGAGGGAAATCTCATCACCTGATAGAAGTTCGACGCTACGACTTGCATAGCGTGAAGCCATCCCCTTCCAAGGATCAGGTTATAAGTAGATAGCACTTGCAACACCTAGAACTCCACTTGTTTGACGACGGATCCAGCTTTGACCAGCAGGATAATTTTTCCCAAAGGCCACTCAGATTGCGAGTTGAAACCAACCAGCGGCGAAGTTGACGGAGCCAAGTTTGTATCTTGGAGTTTGAGCTACTTGAATGCGTCGTAATACATGATCTCGACCGAGCTTCCCTGGTCGATCAAGATGTGCTTGACATCGAATTCCTTGACGCGGAGAGTGACCACCAAGGCATCATTGTGCGGTGTCTGAATGCACTCTAAGTCCCTTGTAGAGAAACTGATCACGTCATTCTCTTCGGTCTTCCCCCTCTTGATCGCGGGCTGGACCGACAAGGCTTCCCTCATGTGTTATGCCTTCTTGATCATACCTCGGAGCTCGTATACACACGCCGGCTCCACTATGCCGTGGATGACATTAATCACTCCTTGAGGGGGCGCCTCCAAGTCACCCGGTGCACGCGGATTAACCGGGGCTTAATGTGCCTTCACGCCCCCGTCAATGTAAAGGTCCAGGTGTCCGGCTGCGACTAGCTCTTCTAAGTGTTGCCTCAAAGGCAAACAGTCCTCTATCCGGTGGCCGCGCGCCCGGTGAAATGTGCAACGGTACCGCAGATTGAAACCCTTCTGTCCGTCGCCCAACTTAGCAGGAAACCGGACATAATCCTCGTCACGGATTTCACTAAGTATGGGATAAATTGGAATCTTAAAAACCGTGGTAATGCCTGTCCTGGCCTTCAACCTTCTGTTTGCATCAGCGACGTCATCCCGAGGGTACTCATCTCGGTCATTTCCCCTACCCCGGTTTTTGTGATTTGAGCCACGGTCTAATTCCTCTGCGTGATCATTTGAAAGTTTTGCCTCCTGTCCGATCGCGTGTACCTTGCCAGCCGACCTCTTGTCTGTTGCTACCGGTGTTGCCTTCGCGGTAGATGCTACCTCATCATCTTCTACGCGAATATGCTTATTGATGCACTGCATTAGCTGGCCCATAGATGTCGGCTGGTGCATCGTAAGCGACCTATGTCTGACTGGAAGACCACGCTTATATTGAGTGATTGCCAGGTTGACCGGGCAATCCAAGATCTCATTGAAAGTTTCCCAGTATCTAGAGTTGTATGCCTTAAGTGTGTCGCTCGGCTCCATCTTGACACTGAGAAGGTGGTCAACTTCCTTCGGCGTTTTGGTATTGGTCTTGAAACGTGTCACGAAGGCTTCCGCCAACTGTTGCCACCCTTCGATGCTTCCATCCGGCAACCTCTCGAACCATTTCAAGCCCAGCTCGCCCAAACTTGACGGGAAGATAAGGCACATAAGAGCGTCATTTCGCCTATGTCCTGCCATGACCTGTCGGAAGTGGCTTACATGCATATATAGATTGGTTTTTCCGTCGTAGAGCGTGAACTTTGGCTGGTGGAAACCCGTCGGAAGTGGTGTTATTTCTATCTCCAGGGAGAAAGGAGTGGCGCTCAGCCTCGCCAAGTCTGTGTCTAAAATAAGAGGCGCAGCTAGGCGGGGTGGAGGCATTCCGACCTCTTCACTGGCGTGGACCCCATAGGATAGCCGCTGGAACGCCGGCGCCCTCTGAGCCTCCCGCCGGCAAGCTCGCTCCTTCAAGACTACCCGCAAATCCTCTGAACGAGCGGAATAAGAATACCTCGACGTCGTCACCGGACGTGAGGGTTGATAGATGCTGTCTTGCGCGCTGGACTTCTCTACGTGCGCGTCGGAATCTCCAACCTTGTGACTTCTGGTGATTGAGATGGACGGAGTACGCCGCTGGCTCTGACTGCCTGAACGGCGGGGTTGGGTGCGCTCACTGTGGTCTCTCACTCCAGCTACACCCTTTCCTTTGACATGCCGCTTAAGATCCTCCATCTCCACCGCCATTCACTGGATGACGGCGTTTTGGTCCCTTAGCTTGTGTTCTAGTCGTCTGGCATGCGATTCTCTCCGCCGCCGATGACCGTCTAGACTCCGAAAATTACCAAAGCTTCTTCCGCGCTTATCTCACGCGTCTCTTGAGTGTCCTCCTGGAGATGTCTCCAGGTCCGCCATTGGAGAAATGGCGGGATGTCCTTCTCTCCGTCTGCCTGACTCCGGGGTAACTCCATCGATGGTAGACAGCGGAATCTCGTCGTTGTTCGCCATGGACGGCGATCAGATGAGTCTGGAAGACAAGGTTTTGTCTGTCAAGGTTCCCACAGACGGCGCCAATTGTACGGGGAGCAAATATTTTGGCAAGCCCGTACTCCTTTCTTCCAAACTCCTACCGATCGATCTGCGAATACAACGGTGGTGAGCTACCTGACGATATGTAGCCGGAATACCCCTCTGACGATCAAGTTAGACACACACAGGGATAGAGAGAGAGAGAGGATTGAGTGTTTAGTGTAAATCTCACCAAATGTTCATATGACTCAGCGTGGGGGGCGCAGACTCGCTTATATACCTTCTGTGCCCCAAATCTACTCTCATTAGTCTCTCGACACGTGGTGCTGCTATCTCATCTGTCAGCACAAATCTAGCTGAACATCACCTAACTGCCAGTCCATGCCACTGGGAGCTCGGCAGCCGGGCTGCAGCATCTCGGCTGTCAACGGCCGTGCTGCACAGCTAGTCAAAGCGCTCCGCTCGCCAAGCTCAATGATGACCGAGCTCGGTTGCATTCCGACTTAGCCGAGCTCGGGATAAGTCATGCTGGTTAGCCGTCGGCCTTCCTGTCGAGCTAACGCATGAACCGTGGAACCCTAGTGAGGCTTCGGACATCTCGGCCAAACCTCACTTGACCGCTAGTACGACATCAATTATGCAACTATGCCATTACCGAGCAAGTAGCTCGGTTTCACAGTAACTGTGCCATTACCGAGCGAAAATCCTTTCTGGATGGGCCTAGGCTGCCACGACCTAAATGTGTTCAGCCCACAATTTATCCGGCCCTTATCACGGCCCAATCCAAATCATAAATCTCCCTCTCAGTTAGGATTGAGATTTATACTTTCAACTCAGCCTGACCTGCCCCACTATCAAATTAATTAATTATTTATTTATTCATAATAAATTAAAATATATATTTTTTGAGATGTAGACTTTATCTTTGTTGATTTTATTGCTTGCATTTGTGGTGCTTTGAGATTAATTTTTTAATAATAAAAAAAAATCAATTTATACCCAAAATCTTTTAATTTATGATAATATCAATATTTTTATTTAAGAAATATAATGTGTGTTGAATTTAATCATGGAATGATTTAATTTTTTTAAATATAGCCCGATGGGTAGATTTGTGATTTATAATTATTTTTTAGACCTAGTTTGGGCAGATATAGAGGTCAGATGTTAGGGTCGGGCCTGACTTAAACAGACACAAAATCTCTTATTATGTAGTGTTGGTCTAGCCCAAACATAGCTTGGCACGACGTTTGTCTACCCTTAGCAAAAAATAAAGAGGTGGTGTGATTTAAATAAACCAATAAACTAATTTTTTTAACACTTTCCAAAAAAGTCTTAATTAAAAAAGTCAACAAATTATTTATCATTCACTTAAAAAAATCAAATGTAATACTAATTTTTATATTCACAAAAAAAATTCTCAAATACATTTAAGTAAAAATAAAAAATCCTAGGTTTAGAAATAATTACAAATTAATGAAAAAAAGTTACAATTATAATTATTAATATTTATAAAATTTAATACTAATTGATAATTAGTTTTTACAAATATTACTGATGTGAATTTCCCTTACTAACTCTTTTTTTTTTAATTTTTAAAAATAAAAATCTAAAAAGTCACTTGAAAAAAAAAAGAAAAAGAAAAAAAAAGAGGAGGTTGATTCCCAAAAAAACGACCGCCAAACAAGCCCTAAATTGGTTCCCTCTCCTTTTTGTTGCACATCTCTCAACGACCAAACCAACCAACCTCAATCTCAAGGTCAAAAACGCCCCCATTTTCCCACAAACCTCTCAACTCTCTCTCTCTCTCTCTCTCTCTCTCTCATCCATGGCCGCCAAGAAGAAGACAGAAGACCAGTAAACCGACAACGACCCACCAACACTCCGTTCCGTCTTAACCTTTCACACACAAAACGCATCATCTCTCTCTCTCTCTCTCTTGTCTTTTTATATGTGAACGAACAAAACTCCATTCAGAGCTCTGTCTCGTTTTGCGTGTTCCACTTCTAGTATTACTTTTCTTTCTCTCTCTTTACCTTCTCTCTCTGAAACCCACCTTCAGGTCAAGATTTAGAGCAATTTGGGATCTGGGTTTGGCTTCAAATGGGCAGTAAATGGAGGAAAGCGAAGCTCGCGCTTGGTATGAACCTGTGTGTGTATGTTCCGAGGACCATTGACGACGGCGACTATTCTCCGCCGCTGTCGGAAAGGGGCTCCGACGCCGCTCTGCTCTCGCCGTCGGTTTCCATGCCGATGACGCCGACACCGTCGTCTCACGGGTTGAGGCTGTCGAAAAGTATGAGCAGATCGTCTAAGGTTCGTTATTACAACCCTATTTGATGTTTTTAATCGACGATTGTGATGTTTGTTTTGTTTGGTTGCTGAGAATCGAGGTGAAAGGAAAAGAAAATTTTGATGCATGTATAGAAAATTGTACTCTGTACTGTTATTGTTCTGCTTCTTGTTTTTGTTTTGTGGATTTTATCTTTGTTGTTGCTCTGTTTGGTTGCTGAGAAAGTTGGGGAAAGCAAAAGATAATACAACAACATCGAAGGTTATGCTTAATTTTGCTAACTGACTCAGATTCATTGAGGTACTTAAGCTTGTATTAGGTTTGGTAGGGTGGAGGTTTTGTTTCTCACATGTCCTTGGTAATGAAATTTGAGCTTCAAAATTGTGGTTTCTTGTTGCTTCTTGCATTTTCTCTGCAACCAAACGGGCTCTGCAGGGTTTTGCAAGTAACACTTCTGTCATTTTCAATCAAGTGTGAAGTCTCTCTCTAAGATACTCTCTTATTTTTCAATAAGTGAAGATTTTAATTTTAGTCTTATTATCTGTTTATGCTCAAAATGCATTATTTATTTATTCGTGCACAAAAAAAATCCAAAAAATTAATGTGGCGTCAGATATTCAACTCTCCTATAGCGGGGGTCACACCTAGAATGAATTTAGACCATAGGAGTTGCTTTTCTACGTAAATTTATGTGTATGAGTTCTGGTCCGTAGCTTTTGTTTTTTCCCCTAATGTTGTGATTTGTTTGGTTGAAGTCCTCATCATAAGTAAATTCTATGATGTAATTGTATTTGTATCTATATCAAATTAATGAGTTAGGTATTGGATGTCTACTTGTTTTCCACTCTTTGGCTTGTATGATTAATGAACAAGAGTCCCTTTCAAGACCCTTATCATGTTACCTTAATAGTTGAAGAAGACTGCAAAATTACCTTTCCTTTTCCTTCTTTTCTTAGTGAAAAAAGTTGCTTTATTTTGGTGGTCACATCTGTTGACTATTGTTTTGCAAGCTTTCTTGCTATTAGCTTCATCAATAAAGCAAAATAGGGAAGGGTAAGAAAAAAATATAGCAGCAATTCTTGATTCCCTATCTTTGATTGATAAGCATGTCCCTAAATTTTTCTAATTGCTTATTTTTAAGACTTTTCTACTTTAGATGAACATGTGATTGGTTATTTTTAAGACTTTTCTACTTTAGATAAACATGCAATTGCGTGACTGCCCTTCAAAATCTCAGCATTGGTTTCACTTTATTTCATAATATTGGTTTGTATGTTGCAAACTATATGCCGACAAACCCGAACGAATAGTCCAACGGTTAAAAGGGCAAGCCTTAAACTCAGGTGTTTTGGGTTTGACTCTTGCTGGTTTACTTATGGTTTGTGGTGATTGCAGGTATTTTGGGATTTATTATGTGGGGGTGGGCCCAAAGGACCATCTCTCTCTCTCACACAACCCCAATCTTTTTCTCTTTTTCGTACTAGAAGAAAAGAAAACTAGTTGAGTTGAAATACAAGAAAAGGAATTAAATAACTCAACTACACATAAATGTCATCCTCTCAAACTTTAAACTATCTTCTCTCCTGTATTGCGTGATATGCAAATTACTTGCCTCTGCTATAGCTCCTTGTGTATTTTCTTAAGATCTCTATTCCACCCAGCAAATGAAACCCTAAGGTCCCCACAATTTTTTTGGAAGTTATCCCTATATGGTATGAAAAAACTGTTAAATTTGCTTTCTATTCATCTGTTGATCTAATTAGAAAGAAGTGCAACAAGCTACATGACGATGATCAAGGTCGTAGTAGAATAAAATGATATTTTACATCCACTCATTGTAGTCTGTATGTTATCTTTGTTTGCTAGTGGAAGTGTAACAAAAATATTTTTCTCCCCTTTTGATGTTTTACTCTAATTCATGCTTCTGACTGGCATTTGATCTGAATTTTCAGAAGACCTGCTCAATATGTTTAACCACAATGAAACGAGGAGAAGGCCATGCAATTTTCACTGCAGAATGTTCGCATTCCTTCCATTTTCACTGTATTGCTTCAAATGTGAAACACGGCAACCCAATTTGCCCAGTCTGTAGAGCAAAGTGGAAGGAAATTCCCTTGCAAGGTCCCACTTTTGATCCTCCGCCTGGAAGGGCAAGAATCAATCCAGTAGACTGGCCTCAAAATAACACTTTGATGACTGTAATTCGCCACCTACCTCCCCCTCGTCTGAATTCCAATCGCCATGTTTTGCCAATATTTCAAGCTCCCGAGCCAGCTGTCTTTGACGATGATGAATCCGTAGATCATCAAGTTGAGCTCATTGGAAGAAGCTCGTCAAATATGAACACTGCTGATACTGATTTCCACAAGACAATAAAGATTAAAACATTCCCCGAATTTCCGTCAGTTCCACGGTTTGATTCTTACGATAACTTCACCGTTTTGATCCATCTCAAAGCTCCTGTTTCAATTTCAGGGCAAAAATCCAACAGAAACCTGGCTAACCTGCCACAAATTTCTCAAACTCCTCGCGCTCCTATTGACCTTGTTACAGTACTCGACATCAGTGGTAGCATGGCGGGAACCAAGCTCGCATTGCTAAAGCGAGCTATGGGGTTTGTGATTCAAAATCTCGGCCCAAATGACAGGCTGTCGGTAATTGCCTTCTCTTCAACAGCCCGTCGCCTCTTCCCTCTCCATAGGATGTCTGATGCAGGAAGGCAACAAGCGTTGCAAGCCGTCAACTCTTTAGCTGCTAATGGAGGGACAAATATTGCTGAAGGGTTGAGAAAAGGTGCAAAAGTAATGGAAGACCGAAGAGAAAAAAACCCAGTTGCTAGTATTATACTGCTCTCTGATGGACAGGACACATATACTGTCAATGGTTCGGGTGGCAACCAGAAAAAGCCAAATTACCAGTTGCTCCTTCCTTTGTCCATTCACGGAAATGACAGTGCAGCGTTTAAGATTCCAGTTCATGCTTTCGGGTTTGGCACTGATCATGATGCTTCATCAATGCATTCGATTTCAGAGACTTCTGGTGGGACCTTCTCTTTCATTGAGACGGAGGCTGTGATTCAGGATGCGTTTGCACAGTGCATTGGAGGGCTTTTGAGTGTCGTAGTAAAGGAGCTGCAAGTCTCTATTGAATGTGTCCATTCTAGCCTCTGCATAGGCTCTTTAAGAGCAGGTAGTTACCCAAATCTAGTGTCGCCTGATCGACATAAGGGTTTTATCGACGTTGGAGATCTGTATGCTGATGAGGAGAGGGATTTCCTTGTTTCGGTCAACGTCCCGGCAGACTTTTCGAGCAGCGAAACATCATTGATAAAGGTGAGATGCGTTTACAACGATCCCTTGACAAAAGAAAAGGTGACTTTGGGAAGCGAAGAAGTTAAGATCAACAGACCTGAAATAGGTGGACAAGAGATTGTGTCCATAGAAGTTGACAGGCAACGGAACAGGCTCCAAGCAGCCGAAGCAATGGCACGGGCAAGAGCCACGGCCGAGCAAGGAGACCTTGCCGGTGCCGTGTCTATCCTCGAGAGCTGTTGCAAGGTGTTGTCAGAGACTGTGTCAGCTAAATCCCACGACAGGCTCTGTGTTTCATTGGATGCTGAGCTCAAGGAGATGCAGGAGAGGATGGCGAGCAGACACGTATATGAGGCATCAGGGGCGTATATTCTTTCGGGACTGAGCTCACACTCATGGCAAAGAGCAACGGCAAGGGGTGACTCCACAGATGGTTCAAGTCTTGTTCAGGCGTATCAAACCCCATCAATGGCCGAGATGCTTAATCGGTCTCAGGCGACATTATTGGGCAGTCCATCGGCTCAGAAGCTCATCCGACCAGTATGGTCATTTGCATCACAACCGAAGCCAAGGTAAAAGGTTTTAGGGTTGCTACAGAGCGTGATCTTCAAGATGCAGTTGTGTATTTTCAATGCCTGTCTATTTTTTTGAGATTTTTGTTCTTGTTTTTGTTTTTCGTTTTTTGTTTTTTGGATGGGGATAAATTGGGAAGATAAGGAGAGGGGTTTTTGACTGTCAATATTGTTGTTGCCTTAAATATGTGAAGGAATAAACTTGGTAAAGAGGAAACACTACTAGGTAGGGTTTACAACTACTTTGTTTTTGTTTAACTTGCTGTTGGGGGTGATGTACATAAAGAAGAAATGGTTTTGTCTTGAGGGAAGTGGGTATAAGTTTGTAATTGTGGGGATAGTTGTGGTGAAGTCTTCACCTATTATAAGATAGGCTGCAATGTTATTCTTTTCAGATTTTTCTTGATGCAGTGTCGTTATTACTTTGCTAAATTATCAGCTCAGGGGGCCTGACATGTATGAAATCAATTTAAGCAGGCAAGAGATCATATTGAATCAGTCCATGGACTAAAATTTTACCAAATCATCATTTCAGTGCATTACAAGTTTAGGTATAGCCTAGCACTCCTGTTGTTTTGATTGAAAATATTTTTATTATAAGGTGGTAGTCATGGTGTGTCTCTGGTCATGGTAGGGTGGGTGGTGTGGTGTAGTGGTGCCGGTACCGTGGTGGAGTGGTAGTTATGATGTGATGGTGGTGGTGCTGGTTGTACAATGGCAACAGTAGTGGCAGGGTGGTAGTGATGCAGTTGCCGTGGTGATAGGTTGGTAGTCGTCGTGGGAGTGGTGGCAGTGGCAGTAGAGGGGGTGGTGGCAGCAGGTAGTGATGGTGGCACTGGTGGTAACTAAAGTGAGATTCTGGCATGTCTTGTTAGGTGAAAAAAAATGTTCCAACTTTTAAATTGTGTTTGACAATGAAAATATTTTTCATCATTCCAAACTAACATTTGTAAATGTTTTCCACGGGCTAAAATTGCGTCAATGTGTACCTGACTTGATATTACAAGGTCAACATGCGAATTTGCATCGCAATTTGAACTTGCAATATTTTAATGATATGCCTATTAAAATATAATTTTTTTAAAAAGAAGACTAATTGAAACTTGATATATACATTTAAATCTTAAGTATAAGAAATGTAAATATTTATGGATAAAAAAGTAGCCTAGTTGTCATCAAATATTAAGCCATAGTACAAGCAAATATCAACAAACCACAAATTGAGAAACATCAATATTCAGCAACTCTCCTCAAGCCCCCATTACAAACTTCCATTCCCCACTATTCTATTTGATGAGGTTAATGAAAATTAAAATTCTGAAACCTCTATCAGCCAGTGCAGGGAAACCATGAAAGAACTTCCCTTTTAGCCTGAATTCCCTTCATTTAGCTTTGGAATCTTCTTGTACTCGTAGTTATTAATGTCAACCTTCTCTTGCAATGCCTGTAATGGACGCAGTAATGTGCTGATGAGCTGCAATCTCATAACCAATGATCTTCATATAAATTATATATAAGAAAAATCAATATACCTTTAGCTCCTCCTCCAATGATATCTTCTTCGGGTTGTATGCATCCACCGGTCCTATTCTCGAAAGTGCTTTTCTTGTCTCAATGATCTCCCATTCCTGATCATCTTTTACTTTGGCTATATCCTTGCTGAACAACATAAATTTTACCACATTTAAGACGACAAAGAAGAAGAAGAAGAGGGAGTAGATGATTATGATCATAATCATTGCAAGAAGCCAGAGGTGCCACAAATATACTTAAAAACAACTAACATTCCTAGAGTTCTAGAAAATTTGCAGTAATGGAAGCATAGACAAGGACATGCATCACAAAGATATCCCCTTTATTGCAATGCATAATGATGTGTGAGCAATTCCTCAAGAAAAACAAATGAATACAAAAAATTTCTGATAGTTAAATAACTACAGATTTATTTATTCATCTTTTTTTATAAAATTCAGTTGGATGAGAATTAACGTTACCATCCCTGATGAGGATGGGATCAAGGAGGGGAGCTACACACATACTATAGGCGTAGAAGGAAGCAAAGGTAATAGGAATAACTTTATTTTATTTTTTCTCAACTTTTAGGATATAACTCATGATTAGAATTATTGGCATATTTTTTTAATAAATAGATGAATCACTTGCCTCTTCTCACAACAATCTTCCTCTCTCTCTGTTTCTTCCCCTACATTAATCCCTCCCTTGTGGGGGTTGGACTTGTGAATCAAACTCATTAATGAGTAGGCTGCAAAGCATCTCAACATCCTCAAAGTAATATACTTTCCTCTTCCCCAAAATACAACCATATCAAGAAAAGGAGAGTTGGTGAACTCCAATTTCTTCTTCTTCCTGCAAACTCCTCAACCCCTCCAACTGTGTGTTAGAATTTTCCCTATTGTTGGTCAATATCCAAATTGTTTTGGATTTGCGAAAACGAGGATTGGTTGTTGCTTGGTCTCACAATGAATATATCGACAATCCCATATGACAGCTACTAATCAGCTTTCCCTGGGATTAAGGAGCATGTTAGATATACTTAAGTGAACTGTAAGATAAGGATGGAGAAAGATGACAAGGGTTGAGTCTTTTATGGGTTAGGCTCTTAAGATAATTGCATATATAAAGATGGTCAGCTCCCTAATCCTACATAACAATCATCACGATTCCATCTAAAGAGACCATACGATGTGAATAGAGTAAAAGACTTAGTCTCATGTTCAACTTCTTGTCTCCATAACCAACAAAGAATGAAACACTGTTATTGATAAACTACACAATCAATTTCATGCTACAAAACCTACAGGATACAGCAGATTTGTTTTACTGTTTCTACAGTCTTGGAAGTCAACTAAACAATATGAAGTAATTCCCTCAAAAATCCAGGGAACACCCCACAAGCTCCAAACAATATCAAGAAAGAAAAAAGGACCAAAGGATCCCAATCACCTAAATATAAATAAGGAAATGATTTACCACCTCTGGATCAATCCCCACCTCTACATAGATGCAACTCCAATTGGGAGAATGTTTCCCTCATTTCACCAAATTATAAACCATAAGAACTTTCCCATGAGTTGAAATCTATACAAACCATACCACCTTGGAAGGGAATTTAGGCTCCAAATCCCTTTCCACAGAAACATTGGCCCTTGAACATTCTATATTTGATATATATATATATATATTTTAAATTTTGATAAGTAACATTCCTTATAATGATTAACCTTGAACCTCCCTGATTCTGATGCAACCAGCCAAATCTGATCCATCCCAAGGAAATTGTCCAATCTGATAAGCAGACTACCTAAAGGTCATGGGCTTTCTTGCAAGGTTCAACACGTATCATTAAATTCCAACATTACAAAGATTCCATCATTCCAAGAAACTCCTTTCAATTCCAACTATATGAAGTCATACCAAAAAGGAATGTATTCTTCAAGGTTCAGAGAAATACCATTGACTAATGAAAGCTTCCACTGAAAGAACCAGCTTTAATCAAGTGTATACCAACATCCACACTTACAGTTCTACAGGTGAATACCACCTATATAAGTTTCAAATACCTAAGTCAAGCTCCCAATTTTCCAAATTCAATTCATCGGGTATTAGCACTTAGGATCTGGACTCCAGCTCAATCCATCTAACAAGTAACATCCAGGAACAGCCTCGTGACAGATGGCTTATTGACTTACATGTCATGTTAGTAACCGAGCCTATTAATTACATATTGTATGCGGCGTTGCATTAATCATGTTGCATTGGTTAGGATCTATGAAGCACGGACACGGACACGGACACGGACACGCATACGGACACGGACACGGACACGGACACGCATACGGACACAGACACGGGACACAGCAATTTCTAAAAAATAGGGACATGGACACGACAGGAGACACGGCAAATTTTTTAATTTTTTTATAAATATTTTTATTTTAATAGATATTAATTATTTTATTTATTTATTATATTTTTTAAATAATATGTTTCAAATAATTTTTTTATTTTATTTTATATACATGTGTTTTTTTTTTATTTATTAATATGTATGAGTATATAATATCTTATAATATGTATTATATTATATAATAATAATAATAATAATATTATATAATAACTAAAACCTCAGATAAAACGACAGAGGCAAGGGAGAGGTCGAGGTCGCGGTCGCGGTCGCGGTTGCGAGAGAGAGAGAGAGACAGATTGTGAATGCGAGAGAGAGAGAGACAGATCGCGATCGTCTGGGGTGTTCGATTGTTCGATCGACTGGTGGAGCTTGGAGCTTCGATCTTCGATCTTTGACAGGTTTGTCTCTCTTCACTTTCTTCCTTCACACTCTCTCCCTCCTTGCCGTGTCTCACGCCGTGTCTAGATCTAGACACGCGTGTCCCTTACAAGAAAAACAATTAAATTAAAGGGACACGGCAGATGACGTGTCCCGTACGTGTCCCCGTGTCCGACACCGCCACGGCGCTGATTTTGCCGTGTCTATGCATCATAGGTTAGGATCATGTATTTTTTCTAACTCTTTTCTTTCTTTTGACTCGCTTCGGACATTTGGGGTAAGCATTTTTTTCACTTTAGCATATTGCATGCGTGCAATTGTTACCATATCAAGCATGTTTACCATGAGACTAAGTGCTTAATTGATATACCTATTTGAATGCCGGTGGATGAAGGTTTTTTTTGCTTAAGTCGGGATGATTTGATTAATGTACATATGAGATCACTTTTTTAAGTGGTACACATTCAAAACACTTTTTCAAAACAAACATGAAATCATAGCGTTCCAAAGTGGGTGAATTAGTCTATACTTTTATACATCACATGGTAAAGATAGCATAATAATCGGAACAAGAGCATATATTGTACATAAGAATCACATCATGATTAGTAGAGGCCGATCTTTGATCGGGTGAGTGGGGTGCTCAATTTATGACCTTCCCCTCTCATACCTAAGTTTCCGAGGCGAGACACTTTGGTAATGACGAACAATTGGCCTTTGGCACGAGTCACGGATTTTCTAAATTTTCAAAAAAAAAAAAACATTTAGGTGGCGACTCTGAAATCTGGCAATGCGGTCCATTTTTGGCATTTTTGATCGCAAATCGATTTTTCAAAGATTTGCCGAATTTGGACTCTTTTGTGTTTTCACTGTTTCACATTGCATTTGTGAAATCAGATTCAAAACCACGAGAGTCTGAACTATAAGACTATCGTGTCCAAGGAGAGTAAACCCTTCCAAGAAGCACAAAAAGCAAGCTACAATTTCTGGCGACTCTACTGGGGAAATATATGTGACATTTTATTTACAAATATATGTTCTTTGCATTGCATCTGCATCGTTACTCCAAAGTCATTGTATTTTCCATCTGTTATTCCTGAACGGCTTGCCGGAGGCTTATCTAAAAAGCTTGCCAAAAGGCTGGCCGGTCGTGGGCTCTGCCATGTTGGAAACACAACCCTCGGATCTGAACTACTGTCGTACTGCTTAATCCTCCTTTAACTTCTCGATGTTTGGTGTGAGAGGTACATTAGGTAGTCTTACTGAAGTACCCTTTTGACCAATCAGCCTAGCTGCATATATAGTAAAGCCATAGTGACTGTTCCAAACTAAGACAGGATACTCACCCATATGCAGGATTGTGAGAAACCACTTGCTTGAAATAGTGAAGCCTTAGATCATGTCAAAATCTGGGACATGGTAACCCTATCTCCTCATAGGAGTGATTTGACTTTCTTTAACTGGTATGTGCTTTACAGTGAAACTGTACAGGAATGTTCATATCAGTGGCACAGTTGGTATCTTTTTTGGGGCAAAATTCAATGAGGAGTACAGTCCTACAGCTTTGATCATGTCTGTTTTGATGGAATCTTAGCTGAGGTGCTGTCCGATTTCCGATTACTGTTCTTTTTCTTTATTTCTTTTGCTAGATAGTTTAAAACCATAGCTTCCGAAAAGTTCTGATATCCCCCAAGAACTCTGGACCCGCGTCGGAAGACTTTGCAAGGTCACAGATCTTATTCGGGGACTACCTGTGTTTGCCTTATTGTCACCAGTTGCAAGGCGAAGGAGGATCAGACAAAGTTCACCAATTTAGTTCTTGCAGCAATCACCTCTCAGCTCACCCGCGCTCAGTCCACCTCAAGAACAGTCATTTACTCCAAGAATGGCACAACACCCTTCATCAGATTTGAAGGACTTGCCAATCCGTCTACAGCAGTCAGTTGACTCACTCTAACATGACATGGCCCGCTAAGCCGAGGTCACAACAGATTACAACAACAACAACAACAACCAGCTGCGGCTTCTGCGTCGCATGCACCTAATGTAACTATCCGCACACCTGGTATTGCCGCCAATGCTGCCACAGTTCAGGATCCACAAGCCGAGGGTATTCAGATTTTTCATGTCCAGGCAAATCCCATTCCGGCACAGACATCTAGAGCCCCAATTTACCAGACTGAGGCACCATTTGAATTCAAAGTTGACCCAATCGCGCTCAAAATCAACAAAGTGGAAAAACTATTTAAAAAAACACAAGGGGTTAACTCCATTCTGGATATAGAAGATGGGTACACCAAATCTGCAGTTACTTTGCCGGAGCGGTTTAAAATGCCGTATATTGACCAGGCTTTAGAAGTTGTCTCTCTTCTGCCGAACCATGTCAGGTATTGCTATCATCTGTCTTATGACCTATGGGTTTGACTAGACTACAAAAGTCATCCCTCTTCGGCCGAACTATCTCGGGAATAGCTACCAAAAAGATACATGCAACTATAAAACCAATCTTATCTATGAGGGCCTGTTTGTTTTGGGTTAAGCAGATGGGAGGGGATTAGGATGGTGGAGGTGTTATTTAATGTTGTGTTTGTTTGTAGAGTTGGGGAGGAGATTAGGATGGTGGAGGTGATATAAATGGAGGTTGGGGAGGGGATTGAGATGGAAGTTGGGGAGATAGTATTAGAAAAATAGTGAGGGGATTAGAAATTTTTTTATTTGTTATATATTGGGAATTTTTTTATAAATATTAATGTTTAATTTTTTATATTTTTTTATTTGTTTTATTATTTTATATAAAAATAATTTAACAATTCCTACACTAACAACTATCATCAAAACAAACACAATTTTAATTAATTCCCTCACTAACAATCCCATCACTATTAATCCCCTCACTATGAATCGCCTCCATTCTACCTCTGAAAACAAACGGGGCCTGAATGTCCAACTATATGTGCCGGACACATCTCATACCCACAAGTACCAAGATCAAGTGTCAGATACATGTACTATGTTTGGTAAACTAAGAGAGAAAAGAAAAGAAATGATTATACAAGTTATGAGAGAAAAGAAAAGAAGAAAAGTTAAGATTGTGATTTCTTTCCCTCTTGTTGGGATAAGTAAAAGAGAAAGAAAAAAAAGGGGGAAAAAAAGAAAAAAGAAAAAGAAAAAGATGTTGGCATTGTTTGGTTTGTGTTTCCCAAAAATTTTTGAGAAAAATTCTCTACAAATAAGTTTTCAAAAGTAATCAAACCAAACAAATTTTTCTAAATTTTTTTTTCAAAACTTGTTTGGTTTACAAGTTTTCCAAACAAATCTCTCTCTCATACACATCAAATCAATCACTTTTTTCAAAACTCACTCAAAATAATTTTCCAAAACAATTTTTAAAAAAAATCAAACCAAACAACTTTTCGTACTTTTTATCTCTAAAACTCATCTCCCAAACTCAAACCAAACATATCCGTTGACTTTCTTTTATTTTGTTTGGTTAAGCTAAATAAAAGAAAAGGAAAAAAAATAATTGTGGTTTCTCACCTTCTTGTTTGGTTGGACTCTGATTAAAAGTGTAACTTTGGTTTCCCACCAAAACTCACCATTTTTGGTCAGAAACAAAACCTAAATTTGGTGGTGTGAATAGCTTTCTCGCAATTTCTCACCATTACTCACATCATTAATCATCCAAACAAGTGATAAGAAATCTCATTCTCTCCATTTCTTTTCTTAGTTGGTTTCATTTCTCTCCCAATCTCTCCACTTTTGGAGAGATTCAACATCGGGGTTGGGAGAGAAATGGGTATCTATCCATTTCTTCCCATTTCACTCCATTTCCAAACAAGTGATATGCACCAAGAGAAATGAATTTCTTTTCTTTTCTTTCCAAACAGGCTGTTAGAGAATCCATATAGCATAAAGATTGACAATCATATGAGCTATTTTAATCAGTTATCATGTGTTAGTACCCATATCTTAAGAAACTCATCTCACAATGAAAATTAGGATTTTTGTTCAAACAATCACAGATGAAAAAAAAATGCCCAAATATAGGTCACTATTTCAGCTAAAACCCAGTTCCAGTACATAATCAATAACCATTTAAACCTACCTATTCAAGTTGTAAAAAGAATAGCCCTAAATAAAACTGACCTGCCTTGCAAGAGATGACCGAGGCCAATCGCTCCAAACACCGTGAGCGAAATCATGGGAAGCCCATATCTGACAAACGGTGATTTCCTACCCCATCGCCTGAACCCAGAAGGAGAAGGAGAAGGAGAAGCAGAAGCCGAATTCTGAAACTTAGGGTTTTTAAGATTGTCGAGTTTCTTTGGGTTATCCATGGCGGTCTCGATCGTGGTCATTTCAACTTATCACCACAGAAGCAAACCCTGCATATGACGATGAATCGCTGTCACATAAACCCAAATTGTGCTTATAGAGACAAACCAACACTCAAGATTCGGTGGCAATGACCCGAACTGTCCAAGCTTCTTCACTCTCCATAGTGTATAAAAATGTAGGTTTCAATTTCCTTCATTTAATTTTGGGCAAATTACCAACACCCCCTTTTGACTAAAATACGGATTCTTTTCCTGAGGTTTGAGAAATTACAAATTGTTCATTAAGATTTATATTTACATAACAAATGAGAGAGCAATTTGTTATGTAAATATAAATTTTATGGGACAATTTGTTATGCAAATATAAACTTCAAGGGGCAATTTATAATTTCCCAAACCTCAAAGAAATTCATATTTTAGTCAAATCTCGAGGGGTGTTTCTAATTTACCCTTTAGTTTTTTAAAAATTGATTTTTTTTTATTTTTTATTTTTAGTAAATATTTTTATAATTTTATGTAATTTTTTATATTTTTTTAGATATACTGTAAAATATTTATAAAAAAATATTTTAAAAAATCAATAAATACACAAGAATATGAAAATATACTGAATTTTTATATTTCTTTTGAATTTTTAGTATTTAGTGATTTTTTAAAAGTTTTTCCACAAATATTATACTTTTTAAGTATATTTATGTTAGCTGTATCTAAAAATTAAAAAAAAATACTTAAAACATTAAAAAAAATTTAGTGAAAAAAAAAATACAGAAAATAAAAAATTTTAATTTTCTAAAAAGTGAAACTAACAAGTTAATGTTACGGGCTCGATCTGCACAATATATATAGGGGCTGCGTGCAAAGCACGCGAGCTGATGCCCATTAATGAAAGGAGATAATAATATAATTTTGTTAATAAATTTGGTTTTTTGAATGAATGGATGAACCATAGATGGAAAAAATGAAATGGAATCAAATAAAAAACATTATGGACTATTAAATGTGACAACCAATGAGGGGCATCTTGCATTCATGTTGTTTATTTGCACAAATCTCCAGATATGAAAGCAAGAGGACTTAGCATGTTTTGAGGTCTGCACAGAATGAACATGTGGAAAGTTCAATAGCTTTTGAGATACAAGAAGAACTTCAACTTTGTGATCTATAAAAAAAATGAGCACACATGCTATTTTTTTTGATTTTGACAATAGTATTATTGGATAATTTACTTCCATAAACAGTAAGATATGCTACAAAAGTAATATTGGGTTGTGACTAGCACATTGTAGTTCCAAACAGGCAACAACAAAAATATTTTACAAACAAAACTACTTGAGCCACACCTAACCAAAAATATGTCACATTGTAGTAATTTGTTACAAAAATATTATAATGTAGTGTTCTTTCTAGAGAGATTTTGTAGAGGGTACTCTTGTTTCAGCAGAAATATCAGAGGCAGAAGTTGTACCAACAGCAGCAGTTGAAACGTTAGAAGCAACATTTGTATCAACAGTTGATGGAAACAGTTCTTGTTTTGCTTTGGGTTCTATTTATACAAATTGTTGATGTGGTTTTGAAGCAAGAGTTATCATGGAGGGTTCTGCATCATCATTCTTTTTTTGCTTTGAGTTCTATTTGGATAGATTGTTTTCAACCACAACATTTCAATGAATTGATGATGTCTACAAGATTTTAAGATTTTAAGCTAAGCATCTTGCTATCTTTTACTTTTTCGAGGATAGAAACCTACTTAGCTTCCTATCTTCCTATCTTTTACTCTCAATCTTTTTCTCAATAAACTTTATTGGATGAGTTTGCAAAGCAAGTTTACCAACTGTTATATATCTAAATAAGCTGTTGATCCAAAAACAAAAAAAAAACAAAAAACAAAAAAAAATCTCTATATGAGCTAATGCTTCTAAAGTTTAACTTAAAATTGTGCTTGGACATTTTATAGATGAGGTTATTTGCACTTAGTATTCTGAGCAGGGAATGGTTTGAGGGCTTTGTTCAACTTATGTAGTCAGACTACATTTCCAAAAAATTTGAATTTTTTTTTTTTCTTTTGTGCAGGTCTTTGTTGATAATGTTGATTTTCTCAAGGAATTAAAGTAACTAAAGCATCATTATAGCTGTCACACTTTTTGACTGAATTTGTGGAGAGATTCATAACAATTTTGTCTATTGAAATCTCACTTTTGTCAATGATGTTTCTAATTTAGTGTGAATTTAGTGTTTCATTGATCTAGAGGTTGCAGTTATACTAATGTTAGTATATAAACAAATTATAAGCTAACAATAGTGAAATGAAATGAATCCTTCCCTGAACAGCTCTGTTCATGGGATTTATACAAGTCCCATGCAACAACTATCCTAGAGTTGTCAAAATTCAATTTAACCATAGTTAATGCTCATAATCGACAAAACCAAAAAAAAAAAAAAAAAAACAAATCATCTATTATTCAAATATCTCCCTTGTATGCAAACTTAAAACCACTAATTCTGAGCTTCGTGAGTATTTTAATGATCTCAGCTCTCACACACATTCTCACAAGTCAAGAGAATTCACTTTTTATTTTGAATATTTTTATTTATTTATTTTTTACTGTCATTTGTTTTTCATGTAAATTATTAAATTCAAGAAATCTTATGATTTATTTCAAGATTTTAAGCTAAGCACCTTCCTATCTTTTACTTTTCCGAGGCTCGAAACCTACTTATCTTCCTATCTTTTACTCTCAATCTTTTTTCTCAATAAACTTTATTGGATGAGTTTGCAAAGCAAGTTTACCAACTGTTATGTCTCTATATAAGCTATTGATCCACACACACAAAAAAAAAAAAAAATCTCTATATGAGTTAATGCTTCTAAGGTTTAATTTTTAATTGTGCTTGGACATTTTATAGATTAGTATTCTGAGCAGGGAATAGTTTGAGGGCTTTGTTCAGCTTATGTAGTCAGACTACATTTCCACATAATTTGATTTTTTTTTTTTCTTTCTTTTGTGCAAGTCTTTGTTGATAATGTTGATTTTCTCAAGGAATTAGAGTAACTAAAGCATCATTATAGCTGCCACACTTTTTGACTGAATTCGTGGAGAAATTCATAACAATTCTGTCTATTAAAATCTCACCTTCTGTCAATGATGTTTCTAATTTAGTGTGAATTTAGTGTTTCATTGATCCAAAAGTTGTAGTTATACTAATGTTAGTATATAAACAAATTATAAGCTAAAAATAGTGAAATGAAATGAATCCTTCCCTGAACAGCTCTGCTCATGGAATTTATACAAGTCCCATGCAACAATTATAGCTATCACACTTTTTGACTAAATTTGTAGAGAGATTCATAACAATTTTGTCTATTCAAATCTCACATTCTGTCAATGATGTTTCTAGTTTAGTGTGGATTTAATGTTTCATCGATCCAAAGGTTGTAGTTATACTAATGTTAGTATATAAACAAATTATAAGCTAAAAATAGTGAAATGAAATGAATCCTTCTCTGAACAGCTCTGCTCATGGGATTTATACAAGTCCCATGCAACAACTATCCTAAAATTGTCAAAATCCAATTTAACTATAGTAAATGCTCGTAATTGACAAAACCCAAAAAAAAAAACAAGAAACAAATCGTCTATTATTCAAATATCTTCCTTGTATGCAAACTTAAAAAGTAATGGAATAATCTTACCCAAAATTAAAATTATTATTTTTTGTAAGAAAAAAAAAATCAATGAAACCCTCTTTCACCCAAAATCAATACCCACAAAATCAAACAAAGCGGCACAAAATATACACACAGGAAACAATAATAAAAAGAACAAAACCTTAAGAAATTAACAGAATCTGGGCCTTTGCCAGGCATCAACACCAAGATTACAGCCTGCTTGGACCCTGATGGTTGGAAATCGGTAAGGTTCTAAACCACTAATTCTGAGCTTCGTGAGTATTATTATGATCTTAGCTCTCACACACATTCTCACAAGTCAAGAGAATTCACTTTTTATTTTCAATATTTTTATTTATTTATTTTTTACTGTCATTTGTTTTCCATGTAAATTATTAAATTCAAGAAATCTTATGATTTATTTCAAGATTTTAAGCTAAGAATCTTCCTATCTTTTACTTTTCTGAGGTTAAAAACCTACTTATGTTCCTATCTTCCTATCTTTTACTCTCAATCTTTTTTTTAAATAAACTTTATTGGATGAGTTTGCAAAGCAAGTTTACCAACTGTTATATCTTCTCTATATAAGCTGTCGATCCAAAAAAAAAAAAAAAATTCTCTATATGAGTTAATGCTTCTAAGGTTTAACTTTTAATTGTGCTTGGACATTCTATAGATTAGTATTCTGAGCAGTGAATGGTTTGAGGGCTTTGTTCAGCTTATGTAGTCCGACTACATTTCCACATAATTTGAATTTTTTTTTTCTCTCTTTTCTGCAGGTCTTTGTTGATAATGTTGATTTTCACAACAAGTTAGAGTAACTAAAGCATCATTATAGCTGTCACGCTTTTTGACTGAATTCGTGGAGAGATTCATAACAATTTTGTCTATTGAAATCTCGCCTTCTGTCAATGATGTTTCTAATTTAGTGTGAATTTAGTGTTTCATTGATCCAGAGGTTGTAGTTATACCAATGTTAGTATATAAACAAATTATAAGCTAAACATAGTGAAATGAAATGAATCCTTCCCTGAACCCTCTTTTACCCAAAATCAATGAAACCCTCTTTTCCCCAAAATCATTACCCACAAAATCAAGCAAAGCGGCACAAAATATATGCACAGGAAACAATAATAAAAAGAATAAAACCCTAAGAAATTAACAGAACCGAAGAAAATTAAACACTTTACAAACCCTAACTGCATCAAAAGGAACCCAAAATCGAAATACATAACATTCTTCATCTATGTCTTTACCTTAACAGAAGCTTCTGTCGTATTCTTCCATCCTTGGGCTCAATTTCTGTTTGATTCGCTGGTGAACACTATGAATACCCACAAAATCAAACAAATCGCCACCACAGAGGAGATGTCATCGGCGGTCACCAGAGGAGAGAGGAGGAAGGAGATCGGTGAGAGGAGAGAGGATGAAGGAGATCGGTGAGAGGAGAGAGGAGGTGGTCGAATATCGTGGTCGGCGGAGGGAGATCACCGTTGGAAAGAGAAGGGAGGAACCGCTGTAAGCAAACAAATTTTGAAGTCAGTTTTTCATCAATACCCTCGCATCTAAAGGAGCAAAGCTATACAAAACAAGGGCAAAATCGACTATTCAACCATTCAAAAAACACTGTTCATACTTGACTGAAAATACTGTTCACTTTGCATCCATGCCTTATATATATTGCATAGAAATGTAACATACTGGATGAGATTGTCAACATTTGACTTCAAAATGTGAAGGTTTTGTGTTCAAAAGTTGGGTGATTATTCAGTACTGTCGGAGTATGGACACGTGGTGCTCCATAAGGTTTTGATTGGTGGAGAGACACAAGGGCCCACGATTTATGTTGGAGATGGGGGGACAATATGGAGCAAACTAATTAGTGATTGGTTTGGAGTATGGACACGTGATACTCCGGAAGTATTGAATAATTTCCCTCAAAACCCTAGACAAATATGAGAAAGGCTAATTTTTTTGATATAATATATGTTAAATTATATTGACATCCTTTATATTTTTGAAATAACACTGTAGCCTCCTCTATCATGTAAAATATCATTAACTTCTCCTCCTTAAAATTTTTTTTGTAACAATTTAACCCAATCAGTAGTTGACCATCCAGTGACCAAACAGAAAACCATGACATCAACCAAAGTAACACTTAAAATGTCTATTTTACCCTTGCAAAATGCATGATTACATTCAAAAAAAAATAATAATAATTATTATTTTTCTCTTAAAATGCCTATTTCATTCTTTTTCTCCTTAATTTCTTTTTCTCAACAATTCATTAAATAGCTTCTCACAATTCCAAATTCACCAGATTCAAAATTTTGATCACATAATTCTGCAACTCTACAAATTGACCGAAGGTTCAATTCACAAAATCAAAACCAACTTCTTTTTCTCTTATTGTTAGCCACCTTACCCCCTCTATACAAAATCAAACCAACTTACTATCTCAAACCCAAAAAAATGGAATATTTTCTAATTTAGTGTGGATTTAGTGTTTCATCGATCCAAAGGTTGTAGTTATACTAATGTTAGTATATAAACAAATTATAAGCTAAAAATAGTGAAATGAAATGAATCCTTCCCTGAACAGCTCTGTTCATGGGATTTATACAAGTCCCATGCAACAACTATCCTAGAATTGTCAAAATATAATTTAACCATAGTAAATGCTCGTAATCAACAAAAACAATAAATAAATAAATAAATAAATCGTCTATTATTCAAATATCTCCCTTGTGTGCAAACTTAAAAAGTAATGGAATAATCTTACCCAAAATTAAAATTATTATTTTTTGTAAGAAAAAAAAAATCAATGAAACCCTCTTTCACTCAAAATCAATACCCACAAAATCAAACAAAGCGGCACAAAATATACACACAGGAAACAATAATAAAAAGAACAAAACCCTAAGAAATTAACAGAATTTGGGCCTTTGCCAGGCATCAACACCAAGATTACAGCCTGCTTGGACCCTGATGGTTGGAAATCGGTAAGGTTCTAAACCACTAATTCTGAGCTTCGTGAGTATTATTATGATCTTAGCTCTCACACACATTCTCACAAGTCAAGAGAATTCACTTTTTATTTTCAATATTTTTATTTATTTATTTTTTACTGTCATTTGTTTTCCATGTAAATTATTAAATTCAAGAAATTTTATGATTTATTTCAAGATTTTAAGCTAAGCATCTTCCTATCGTTTACTTTTCTGAGGTTAAAAACCTACTTATGTTCCTATCTTCCTATCTTTTACTCTCAATCTTTTTTCTAAATAAACTTTATTGGATGAGTTTGCAAAGCAAGTTTACCAACTGTTATATCTTCTCTATATAAGCTGTCGATCCCAAAAAAAAAAAAAAAAAATTCTCTATATGAGTTAATGCTTCTAAGGTTTAACTTTTAATTGTGCTTGGACATTCTACAGGTTAGTATTCTGAGCAGGGAATGGTTTGAGGGCTTTGTTCAGCTTATGTAATCCGACTACGTTTCCACATAATTTGAATTTTTTTTTTCTTTCTTTTCTGCAGGTCTTTGTTGATAATGTTGATTTTCACAACAAGTTAGAGTAACTAAAGCATCATTATAGCTGTCACGCTTTTTGACTGAATTCATGGAGAGATTCATAACAATTTTGTCTATTGAAATCTCGCCTTCTGTCAGTGATGTTTCTAATTTAGTGTGAATTTAGTGTTTCATTGATCCAGAGGTTGTAGTTATACCAATGTTAGTATATAAACAAATTATAAGCTAAACATAGTGAAATGAAATGAATCCTTCCCTGAACCCTCTTTTACCCAAAATCAATGAAACCCTCTTTTATCCAAAATCAATACCCACAAAATCAAGCAAAGCGGCACAAAATATACGCGCACAGGAAACAATAATAAAAAGAACAAACCCTAAGAAATTAACAGAACCGAAGAAAATTAAACACTTTACAAACCCTAACTACATCAAAAGGAACCTAAAATCGAAATACATAACATTCTTCATCTATGTCTTTACCTTAACAGAAGCTTCTGTCGTATTCTTCCATCCTTGGGCTCAATTTCCGTTTGATTCGCTGGTGAACACTATGAATACCCACAAAATCAAACAAATCGCCACCACAGAGGAGATGTCATCGGCGGTCACCAGAGGAGAGAGGAGGAAGGAGATCGGTGAGAGGAGAGAGGATGAAGGAGATCGGTGAGAGGTGAGAGGAGGTGGTCGAATATCGTGGTCGGCGGAGGGAGATCACCGTTGGAAAGAGAAGGGAGGAACCGCTGTAAGCAAACAAATTTTGAAGTTAGTTTTCCATCAATACCCTTGCATCCAAAGAAGCAAAGCTATACAAAACAAGGGCAAAATCGACTATTCAACCATTCAAAACATATTGTTTATACCTGACTTAAAATACTGTTCCCTTTGCATTGGTGCTCTATATATATTGTATAGATATATATGTTCATATTTTATTTTATTTAACTTTAGTGTCAGACATAAAAAATAGTTTATAAACAAATGAATTATTTTAAAAAATTGAGCTCCTAAACTTTATCTTATAAGGAAATAACTATAATCATTCAACTTTCAACATTATTTTGTATTTAAATTTTGATATATACATATGAAATATTAGAGATCGTGAAAAAAAAAAAATATCTTGAAATGTTTTATAAATTTTTTTTATTCTTTGATTAGTGTATTGTGTTTTTTTATATGTGTAATCTCAAGATGAAAATTTTTTATAAATATTTCATCATCTTTAGTATTTCTCTCTCTCTCTGTATAGTTATTGGGTTGCATCGATATAATTGGACTTAGGTCACATTTAGACCAACAAATGGGTGTATGTTCACTTCCAATAATCTTAATGAATATTAGTCATAAAGTGAAAGGAATTTTAGGACCCCCTTTAGGATGACCCACACCCTCAAAGTGATCTTGGCCTTCCATATATATGTGAAGCCCACTCATATATACACATCATGAATGATCCAAATTTATGAGAGTCTTATAAAGATAAGGTCTCAATCATTGCTCTAAAGTGAAAAGTATTAATCCAACCGCATCATTCTCTCATAAAATTTCTGCAAATGACAACATGCAACTTGATAAGAGAACCGAGATTGACCAGCTAAAAATATCGAAGCATCATAGGAGAACACAAACACAGAGCGCTCAACTACAATCTAATAATGTGTAAATAAATATATTCACAGCATCAGGTAATCAAAAACATCCAAGTTGCCACTAGCTAGTTTTTTCAGAGAGATTTATTAAATATAATCAAGACGGGTAGAACGGGCGGGAGAAGGAAAACCCATCCTGCTTCTTTATCAGTGCACGAAAAACCCATGTGAGGAGGGCGGGCGATGCGGAGGCAAAGGGAAACAAGAGAAAATTGTCATTTCTAAGAGAGAATGAACCAAAATTTCTTTGCTTTGCTTGGTGTTTCCAAAATTCAATCACCCAATTCATCCTTGCCAAGATTTTGATTTCCATTCTGAAGTGATTTTGTTGATGGTGGTGACACTTTCACATTGCAAGGCTTTGATGAAGCTTTTTCTTTCTCTTCACCAGACTTCAACTTTCTATTAATACCAAACCTTCTGCAGAAGCTGTTCCAACTCCCCTTCGTCTTCACAAGCGTTTCGATCTCTTGTTTCATACTCGAGCACTCCTTTTCAAGCTCAAAAACCCGCTCTCTCACGTCATCAACAGCAATAGCGCCATCTTCTCCACATCCTTCTTGGGCAGAATGGTCATTTCTAGGGAGCGAAATGTTCCCACTCTGATTTTGTGAGTTCTCAAGATTGTCAGAAACAAAGAACCAACCAGCAACGGATGTGCGGAGCCGAAGCTGTTCAAAAAAGAGAACTTGGACGATGACTCGGAGGGGTAGGCGCTCGTTTTGGGCTGCGTGGGTGCTGGCTTCCAATGAGAGCTTTTGGCAGTCCATGAGCCTGCAGATTTGTTCCCTTTCAGAGTCTGTCAGCCATGGATGTGCCTGAAGGTTTTACCAAGACATTAGCAGCTTTAGAGGAATACAGCAGTGTTACCTAAAAAACACTAATATCCTGGCTATTTTGGAGTGCTAATGCCCTTTTTTTTTCTCATGAGAAAGCTGGGAGAAGTTTGAAATATGGTTATTGCTCTATTATCTTGGTATGCAGGAACAGGGAGTTAGTTAAAGAGGTCCAATAATCATTTTCCCAAAATTGGCAAATACCCACTCAAATATTGCATGTCCCAAGAAAACATATTGTTGCCAAATGAAAGATAAGAACATTATGATCAATTAGGATGACCAGATGTCTTCAAAACATCATTATTACTATTCGATAATATTTTATATAATTGGCATGAAAGCAATGAAAACCTGACAAACAAAGACTAGTTTTACCTTGAGGTATCTATCAATAGCGCGGTAAATTCCATCATCTAATGGTCTGGCATAGTCAGGGATCACTGCAGCGAGCGAGAAAAACTTAGGTAACTTCAAAGTAACATCAGGTGCCACCTCAGCCAGATAGCTGTCTAGCAGAGTAGCCACCATTGTCATTGGGGTCAGCGAGTGCGAGCCTTCCATCAACTGCCCTTCATCCACTGCACCATTTGATGTAGAATCAGCTGTATCGTGGCCCACCAGCATGAAGTGATCGAGGATCCGCTGAACACAATCAACATCGTAAAGGGTCTCCATTGAGTAGCCTATATTTGGAATTAGAAGATCTTCCAGAACCGCTTCATTCAACTGGGCTCCGACCCGCTTTTCTAAACTCTCTTGACATGATCGGCTGGCATTTAAGATCATGGATGTTCGAAGAAGCCTAAGCAGGAGCTTAGTTGGTGTGATACCCTTTTCATCAGGTAATAAGGTCACTATCTCTTCAAGGAGAGTCCTTTGATCTGTATTGGATGGAACAGAGAGATTTGATCCAGAGGCAGCGTGATTTCCATTATCAAAGCTTGATTGCCTGCCCATCAAGGGGAGATGCTTCTTTGCATAAAACAAAACGGACCTGGCGATCGTATCAGGTTTCATGCCTCTTGATCCAATAATAAGAATCAACCTTTTAAATAGATGTAATGTAAGGAATGACACATCCTCATACCACCAATCTTCATGCACAGGATGTGGCATGGAATTGCATCCGGAGACAGGCCAATTGAACAAACTTGGATCTGCACAAGCTTTTATTGCCAAAGAATCGATACATCTGGAAACAATATGAAGCTCTTCTGCATGTGGAAGAACCTCTTCACAGGTTTCAAGAGCATTTATTGTGTCTGCCCAGTTGCCAAAGACTTCATCGAATAAACTTTCTGTTTGTGCAATGAGGTTTTTCTCTCCGTAGTCTTCATTCATTTGAAGATACTCAGCCGCACACCTCAAACCGACTACATTTAATGCAGTGAGTTCAATTTTAACACCATAACAGAACTTTGCTACAAGCAAAAAGGTTTTGGCTCCTCCAGGTATGTCATGAAGTTGTAAAACACACTTCTTATCCTCATATTTTTTTTCATCCCCGTCATAAAATTCTCTAATAAGTTTTTCTAACACACTGCTTCTGGACAGCAAAGGAAACTGCAAGCCACAAGAGGAGAGGGAAAAGCAGTTGCATGAGCACATAAATGGATGCACGTGCACCCATGGAGCTTTACAGTTTCATGAAGCAAAAAGCAGTGTAAGAGAACATTGAAAAGCAATGTTGACGTATAGGATGTATGATAATTTTTTGAAAATATAATAACAAAAATACATAATTTATGTAAAAAAATGGATAACTATTGTAAATAATGCAATTTCTTTCTTATGCATCCCAACTTTTTGAAGTTTGTGAAAACATGGAAGCTAACCTAAACCTCTGCACAGCATAATAATCAATTTGATGTACTGTTAACAAAGCTAACCTAGAGGTTTTCAATAATTGATTAAGGAATTCCAGAGCTACGCCACAAATGATGAAGAAGAATAAAAATCCTCAGCAACTGAAACCGCAGTTGGATTTTTACAAAAAAAAAATTAAAAAAAATAGCAAGTTTGAAAGAAGAAAAGAAACAAATTGAATTCACAACAGTTGAAAATATGTACGCTCTTTGATGTGATATAAAGACTGGAAGAAGGATTTTCTTCTCTTTTTCTTTATTTCCCCTCTATTTTATTTACTTTGAATTTCTAGTATTAAATTAGTATTGGTTAGGAAAGCCCCCGAAAAGAAAAGTTCTGATTTTGTAATAAGAATGTCCTAGCCATGGTTGATGACTAGGTACAGGCTCCAGGCATGCATTGAACCTCCTTTTTTGCGGGCAGACATGCAGTGATTCTCAGAGCAGAATATATACCCCGCATTTTTGTGCAGTAAGGAATTCTTCATGCCTTGCAAACTTTGTAGAACCATGATTCCTACATACATAAATTTATAAAATAAAATAAATCCAGTAAATAAACAACGGGGTTGACCAAGTGAAATAAACCTTATGGAGATGAAAGGATGTTTCTCCGACTTCAATAATAGCATCACTTGGAAGGCCAGTGGAGCAGAGCCTGCAAAAGAACAACAACAACAACCAACAATTCGAATATCTCTTTAGAACATATTTTACTGGATGAGTAATAGATACTATACTCATCATGTCACAGGTGGTCCAATAAAGTCAAGAGACCCAACAATTTTCTTCATATACAATTAAATCATGTTCCTTTTATACATTTCCTTCCCATGAATGGGAGATATTAGAAGGGAAGGAGGTCGAGATTCAAGAGTCTCAACATTGAAGACTTGGTTAGCTCTTTTCAAATATTTTTCCTTTTCGACATTTCTTTGTTTGGACCATTACTTTCTTCAATACAAATAGATAACATAGCCAAAAAACCTACATCATGTCCAAGTTTAATACTCTAGTTTTGTGATTGTGTGCTAAATAATTTTTCAATGTGCAGATGAGAAGTCTAGAGCAATCTTCTGCAGTGGACTTGTTCATATCATTTGACAATTGAAATCCATGAAGAACACATAGTCACCAGCATCAACTTTGCAAACATACAATTGCAGATGATCTAATGATTCCGGTGACTTAAAAAACAAGTGGAAAATGTCTCAAATAATATTTCAATTTGAGAGAGATACTTTGTTCAACAAGCTACCAAACCAAACCAAGCCTTAATCTCATCAAATGGGGTCGGCTACATGAATCATTCTTCTCCACACGGCCCTATCAAAGGCCATTTCTGTTCAACAAGCTACACTCTGCAAAAATTTCATTTTGCCAAAGCAATGAATATAATTGGGATAGTTTAATTGTAAAGCCATCCCCATGTACTAAGAGTGTTTAACTAATAGAGAAAAGGTACGTTACCCCCCTAAGTCCCTGTCGTCAGGGGAAGACTGCCTCCGTCGTCGGGGGAAGACTGCCTCCGTCGTCGGGGGAAGACTACTTGGCACAACTGCTAATAGATGGGAAAGGTCATCCCTTATTCCATTCCTTCCTCATGTCAGGAATGGATTTGAGATTGGACAAATTTAAAATGTGAACATACAACAACACTCAACATGTGCACGGATAGTCCATGTAATGAAGTCTTTAGTAACCAGTTTGATAGAATAAGGCAGGCAAACAAGTACTCAAAAACCAATTTGGCGTCAAAAATTGAAGTGTCCAATTCTACTAAACTAATAGCATTAGCTTAACGTACAAATACAATGAGATTCAATTGCAGTAACAATGTGTGGACACAACTTAGATACATACTATAGACATTTAAAGCCAAATTTTCATAGTCTAAAACCTTTATGCAATATGTTAAAAGGGATGCATTTCATTACATGAAACACTTTAGTAATGAAGATAATGAACAATATCTTGTCCCAAGCTTGGGAAGTGGGACCAATTATTACACACTTCCACCTTGTAAAAGTCATGTAACACAAGTGTTGAACTGCACACAAATACCCAGGACTCGGTTCATGCCTTCTAAATCCATTTCAAACCATCCAGCTCACATAAACACCTCTACACAGTCCACACCAACACATCTCAACATTCTTTTGAGTGTCTAAACCACCGAAATGTGCAGATCCTTTTTTAACGTCATTCACTTCAAGGTTTAAACTAAATTGAATGACAGCTTGTTTGATGAATTGAAAAGGAAATCATGTTAACTATATGATGGAAGTAGAGTATCAAGCCTTCCAAATCAATGTCCCTGAAAGTGCTTAAGCAAGCACATGGACAAACCACAATGCAGGTACAATTTACAATTATTTGGAAACATACAGTGAGACAATTCATATCAACACATAGGTAAATACTAGAAAATGTAAACAAACCTATTTCTATGAATGCTAAACAAACCAAACTCTCTAAGAAGCAGAACAGTGGAAGAACACATGAATTTGAAGCAAACCCACAACAACAATGGGTTACAAAAATTGAACACCCCCCCCTCCTCCCCACCCAAAAAAAAAAAAAAACCCATGAAATAAATGTTAAAAAAAAAATTAAAAAATAATGGGCTAAATTAGAATTCAAGAACTGGCAAAGAAAATTACAAATCCAAAGAATTGAATGACTAACCAGACTTGGCCATCCAGGTGAAAAACATCTGATTTCGATCCCAACTTGACACGAGCCATTTATCAGTAGTATCACTGAAGTAGTGCTGCGATTGTGATATAGTGGGTCACAATGTATCTATGTTGCTATGCATATACATATATATAGTTGGGATTGTGAAGGAAATGAATGGAAGGAATGGTGTGACAATGGCGGTATAAAGATGAGGGTAGTGGAGAGAGAGAGAGATTTGGGGGAGAATATGGGCCCCGAATCCAGGAGAGGAACCGGTTGCTGCTGTTACATGAAATGGAACTCTGAAATATGAAATCCTTAAATTAAATTCTTCAGATATACAGGAAAGAGTAATGATTGTGACCCAACCACAAGACTTCCTCAATCTGAACCATTCAGTGAGGGAAATTACACTCTGAAAAATATTCATAAATAAGAGTGAAATATTACAAAGATTAACAATTAACAATTATAATTAAGATTAACAATTAACAATTATAATTATAATTTTTTTTAATTGTGATATTACATGTATCAATTAATATACTAACTAGTTTACCAAGTCATTATATTATTATTAAGAGTCCAGCTTGTCTCAAGTTGAGATCAAGGCTGAACCTGTCCAATTCGGCCCATGGGGCCATTTTTGGGCTCGTTTTGATAATCCGAACCGTTCAATGTGTAGAACTCGTCGAGTACTACATGTTTGTAAAAAATCACGTTAATCGGATATCAATAGCTATGTAATCAAATCAGTTTTGTATAAAAAAAAGATGGTGAAACAATTAACGGTTGATAAAAAACTGTTTTGTTCACATAGCTATCAACATCCGATCAACGTGATTTTTTACAGGCATATAGTACTCGACGAGTTCTACACATTGAACGGTTCGAATTATCAAAACGGGACCCGTGGTGGGCCCCACGGGCCCAACAACACGGTCCGGTCTGATCTTGGACTGGACCAAAGCCACTGCCTATTAACCTCACTGATTATATAAATTACAAATATAAAAAATCTTAAATTATACTATATCATCAATTGATATATTAATTAATACACTAATTGATACATATAATACTATTCTTTTTCTAAATAAATTTTGCTGCCACCACTGATGGGTTATTTCCCTATTATAACTAGGGGTGTAATTTTGGCCCGTCCCGGTCCATCCGAGCTCGGGCCCGGCCCGGCCCATGTCAAGCCTTGCAAGCTCCAGCCAAAAAATCGGACTTAGCCCAGCCGCCCTACTAGCCAAAAAATTAAGACCAGACCCAAGGATATTCGGGTTTTGGGCGAACCAATGGCCAGGCATCGAGGCATGAGCTTGGGCTCAGGCTTGGGTGGGCCTAAACAAATTTTTTTTATTTTTTTTATCAAAATTTTATTATTTTCTATTAAAAATAACACTAGGCCTTGCGTGCAGGTCAGACGAGCCGGGCCTCGAGCCGGGCTTTTGAGTGAGCCTTGAGCGGGTCGACGGCCGGACCAGATTTCAAAACGATGGCCCAGGCCTTAGCCCAAGGCCTCGAGTTGGACTTGAGCCAGGGCTTAAACAGGCTGGGCCCACCTCAGGCCGCAGCACAGGCTTAAGGCTGCCCATGGGCCACGGGCTAATTTTACACTCCTAATTATAACCTATTTTATTTATTTTTTATATATATAATGCAAAAAGAGTTTAAAATTTAAAATTAAAATGTATTGGAGTTTTTTTTTTTTTTTCACTTCTAAGAGTGAGATGAATCAACGATTTATAATAATTAAATTATTTTGACTGTTTTTAAATTTAAAATAAGTGTTCATTTGGAATATTGGCTATTTTAGTGGCTTTTTTATGAGAGGAAAAAGTTGTGTGTTTTAGATAATTTTTTATTTTTGTTGTAGTTGAATAGATGATTGTAAGTGTATTTGGTTTCAATTTGAATAGATGTTCAGTGTGTTTAGTTTCAGTTTTCTAAATTAAGTTTTCTAAAAATTGAGTATTTTAATTTTTGTATTTTTTTTATTTTTAGTGAATATTTTTAAAATTTTAGATCATTTTTTTTTTTACTTTTTTAGATACACCTTATTTAGATGTATCTAAATAGTAAAATATTTTAAAAAATTGATAAATACACAAAAGACAAAAAAAATATATTGAATTTTCTTTTCTTTTTTTTTTGTATTTTTTGGTATTTGGTGTATTTTTTAAAGATTTTTTCAGAAATATTATACTTTTTAAGTGTATTTATGTTAAGTGTGTCTAAAAATTAAAAAAAGTACTAAAAATATTTTGAAAATTCATTGAGAACATTAAAATACAAAAAATAAAAAAGTAAAATTTTCTGAAAATTATTTTTTGAAAACCAAAACCAACCAAGCTTTTTTTTTTTGTCTTCATTGATTATTTAGCCAAAACCAAATATCCTAAACAAACACCACCAAAAATGTAGTAGAAATAGGGTGATCCTTCTATTTCAAATTAGTTTCTAAGCCATTTCTAGACTCACCACACGAATAATTTATCTTATAAATCCGACAGGGTTCGTTTGGAAAGTTGGTTAGCTTTTTAGCTTTTTAATTTTTTGACTTTTTTTTTTTAGTTTTGAAAACCAAAACCAAACAAGGGCATTTTTTTTTTTTTGTCTTTATTGATTTTTTAGCCAAAACCAAAAATCCTAAACAAACACCACCAAAAATGTAGTAGAAATAGAGTGACTCTTCTATTTCAAATTAGTTTCTAAGCCATTTCTAGACTCACATTACGAATAATTTATCTTATAAATCCAATAGGGTTTGTTTGGAAAGTTAGTTAGCTTTTTGATTTTTTGGTTATTTTTTTCTAGGGTTAAAAAATTTAATTTGGAAATTATTTTTTTACTTTTTTGATTTTTTTTTAGAGAAAGAATGTAATGATTATGGGTTGGATGTGATGTTTTGTCTTATTATGCTAAAAAATTTATTTTGTCTTTTTGTGAATAAAATAGCCCTCAACCCAACCCAACCTAACCTTTCTTTCTAAACGAAGCCTAAATATGAGTTGTTAAAAAATATATATATATATTTTTATTATGGGATTATTACCAGACACATTGACAAATTATATTTTATTTTTTAAAAATAAACAGTAATTATAAGTTTATATTTAAATCGTCCATTTTATAAAATGGTATATGATTTGTTTATATATTCATTAATATTCAATGAAGTTGATTTTTTGAACAAATAATTCTTACTATAAAGTGTAAGAGATAAATTATTTGGATCATCGTTATGAATTCAAAGTGTAAAATATTCATTGAATATTATAAGTTGATTTATATGAATTCAAAGTGTAAATTATAAGTTGATTTATAAAATGGCATATGATTTGTTTATCTATTCATTAATATTCAATGAAGTTGATTTTTTAAACAAATAATTCTTATTATAAAGTGTAAGAGATAAATTATTTGGATCATCGTTATGAATTTAAAGTGTAAAATAAAATATGTAAAAGTATGAAAGATATATGGGGAGGAGTCCTCATAACTATTAGGGAATTATAAATTTTTTTAAATTATTGTTTATCTTTTGAAGTTTATAAAATTTATTAATGTAAATTTGTTATAATTATTAGTTATGAAATGACGATTTTCTTTCTATTTATAAAATGTAAATAATCTAACTTGTGTATAAATAAAAATTTAATTTATTGACTCAATCAAATGTTGACTTTATAGAAGGATTACATTATCGAGATTTGTCATCTAATGACTTGTCGTTTCTCTCATGCATGATTTAATGCAGCATTCACGAGGATAGCATCTAGATGGAGATGAATTATTGGTTGATTCAGATGGAGATGAATTATTGATTGATTCAGGTAAAATACTGGGTATGTTTGGTTTGAGTTTTAGGGATGTGTTTTAGCCTTCGTTTGGAAAGTAAGTTGACTTTTTGATTTTTTGATTTTTTTGGTTATTTTAGTCTGGGTTAAAAAGCTTGGTTTGAGAAGGGCTTTTTGATTTTTTTGACTTTTTTTGTGAGAGAAGAATGTAATGATTATGGGTTGGATATGATGTTTTATTTTTTGTGGTTAAAATAGTCTATTTTATTTTTTATGGCTAAAATAACCAAAAAAGCCCGGAAAAGCCATTCCCAAACGGACCCTTAGAAAAAAAAATTTAAAAATTTGTTTGGTTTGAGATTTTTTTTTAAAAAAATTCAAAATCACTTTCTCTTTCTTACACATCAATCAATCACTTTTTATCTCTCCTCTCTCCTTCTCAATCACTTTTTCTCTTACACGCATCTACTTAATTATAATAAAATATCAAATCATCCCAAATTCTCAAACTCCAAAACTACTTTCAAAATATACAACCAAACAAACCAAAAAAATTTCTAAAACAACTCTCCTAATTTTTTTTCAAAAATAACTCTCTCAAAAACAAACCAAACAAGCCCACTATGTCACGTTATATATGTATTGTGATTGGTAAATTAATTAAGACTTATAATTTTTTATTAAGTGATTAAGAAATATGAGAAGATATAAGATTTATAATTAACTTAGAGTATAATCATGTAATATTTCAAAACCAACCATTAATTTTTCTTTGATGTAGTGATTACTATCTTATTTTGACTCTTTTATATTTTGTTTATTTCTTTCAAATTTAAATTTAAAGAAAATTTGAGAGACTTTCTCAATTATCCAAACTACTCACTTTATAAGACACATATATATACATTGTTTATGACAAAAATTTAATTGATATGATAATTATAATTTTTTATTTTATTGTATTTATTTTTGAAAACATACATGATAAATATATTTTTAAAAGAATCTATCTATTTTAAAAAAAAAACACACACACATAAATAATGATATCAAAGAAGTAATTTGTATAAAAAGAATTTTTAAATATGCATACAAACTTATTTTAGGAAATAGGTTAAAAGTTAACTTTTTATTTTTTACTTTTTCTTTGAAAAAATGTGTAAAAAATAAAGAAATCATGTGATTAAAAAAAGTCAAAAAACTGATTTATAATCCAATTGTCAAAATAGGCCAAAGATTAATAGCTTAATATAAAAACCTAAACCGAGTTCAAAATTTAAAATAACATATTATGATTGGGATGGACTGATTTATATTCGATCATACAAAGCTAAACACAAAAAATTATCGTAATTTTTTGATTTATTTTAATTTAAATTATTTAATTATTTTTATTAAGTAAAATTGATGATAAATAGTATTTTAGTCATTATACTTAAAATAACTTTTTCCGTTAAGTTTAATAAGTAAAATATCTTTTTTTTGTTTGCTTTACTTAGGCTCTGTTTGGTATATAAGTTGGGGCTAAATTAGCCAATAAAAAGAC